TACTGGGGAGCTCGTGTGCATCTCTCTGCTGGAACTGCATAAAGCCACTGTCTGTTTACTGTTGTGAATAAGTGTGTTGTACTTACCTGTGTTGTGTGCAATCCAGGCTAGTCCAGTCCTCGATTGTCTCTGGCTGCTTTGTAAATAGCAGCATGTGTGCGACCTACAGTTTGCCATATGCCTCCCCCCTCCCCCCACTTTCCCATTGCCAGCATCTGTATAGTGAGATTTGCTCTTGCTTATTAAGCTCTTTTATATAATAAAAAACAGCACAGCTTTTACCCACTGATGCTGCCTCAGCTGTGATCTCTGGTATCACAATATTGGTATCAGAAGCCACAAGCGATGCCCCTGGTGCTTCTGCAGCAGACAAGGAGGGACCTGGAGACCTTGAGCTGTCTGGAGAGCCCCAGAGGGAGCGGCACCCAAAGATGGCTAAGGTAGTGAGGAGGCCGAGTGCGCAGTGGCACAGTGCTGAGCGCAGCCCCGCCTGGCACCCCTCTCACAGTGCCCACACATCTCCTGAAGTACGGCGAAGGACAGCCGTCATGTGATATTCTAGCTTGAGCTCGCCACCAGGAGCAATGTCTGGGATGCCCAGAAGATGGCTGTCCACCCTGGCCTGGCCCTAGAAGGGAGAGCTCCCCAGTCCCTCCCCGACATCGTTCCAGTGCTTAAGCCGCAGTTTGGCAGTGGTACAGGGGAGGTGAACTGTTCGGCACCCGGCAGCTGTTCAACATCCAGCGATGCCATAGAGGGGAGCGGCTAAGAGTACTGGCCAGGGACATCGGAGCGCTAGCCCAGCAGGCCAACCTTCACTGCCTTCACAGGCCTTTTGCCCTGCCCTCCTCCCGGACCGCTTACAGGAATAAGTGTGGCTGCTGGTGCCGTGAAGCGGGTTAGGGTTAGGGTTAGGGTTAGGGTTAGGACCAGTGAGGGCGCCCCTGTGCTCATGGTGACTACAGATAACAGCAGCAGCTTCCTGACAGCTTGCCCGGGACCATGAGCCCCACAATGAAAAGATCAGGAGTTGGCACTGTGGGGAGATGGGCCACCAAACCCGAGTCTGTCCAGAGCCTTCGCCCAAACCGTTGTGAAATGAGTGGGGAGTGGCACAGTGACAGAGGTGTCGTCTTTTCTGGAGCCCCTTGGACCAACGGCCTCGCTCTTGTGAAGAGCATCAGTGGAGTCTGCTAATGTGCCCTTATTGAAAGTGGCTCCACCGTTTCCATCATGAGGCCAGGTCTGCCACTGCTTGCCTGCACTGCCCCCCACAGCTTCACCGCCGGTGCCCCCTGTCTGAGACAAAGTAAAATCGGCTGGCAAGTGGGTGCCCCCTATGTTGCCTCTAGGATTTGCGGACCCTGGATATGGGTATTGTACATATCATGTGGTTAAATAGTAAGCCTACTTGTGCTTACTGACTACTGCTTAGTACTTCTGTAGCATGAATATTCATGTATATACACCACCTGTTTTCTTGTCAATACCAGAAATATATTCTTGAAATTTCTAACAGGTTACCAGATAAACATGATTTGAGAGAAATGTACTCTTACATCATCCATTATAATTCTCAAGTTGGCAGAACAAACCAAACTCCTGACCACTAGAGGGTGCTGTGCTCTCTGGGTTATATGCAGCTCTTCAGACATGTGTGCATCCCCAATCAGTTATCCAATGCAAGGTTATGAGGAAGCTGGGGCCCAGATTACATGTCACGGTACACACACTCACGCACAATCTATGGCAATTCACCTACCTGATCATGTAGATCTTGTAGCTGTACAATAAAAGCTACAGAGCACCCCCTGGTGTTCCTCAGCTACCTCACAGTATTCTGGTCAGGACAATAAATGGCCAATATTATACAGTGGTACCTCAGTTCTCAAACTCATTAGAACTCGAATTTCTTAAAAGTCAAACCAACCAGTTCAAAAAAAAAATTACCTAGAACTCGATCTGAATCTCAGAAGTCAAACCGTGAACGCAGACCTAATATAACTTGTACAGGCGGGGAAATGAGTCACGCAGTACATCTCTCAGCGGAAACATAGGGTAACGCTTCAGTCTAAGCTTCGCATTCGCTGTGATAGCATGGTACATGTTTACACTAGCTGAATACATATATTTAGACAGTAAAAATACATTTAGACAATGATAGACAGTAACAGTAATTATTATATAATAAAATACATTTAAAAATAAAGATTTCTTATAAATTATTTTAATATCATTAATAATAAACAATTAATACATTTAATTATAATAATATTGTCCTGCCGAGCGGGGACGGAACGGAGACAAAGGCGCAGATGTCAGGGTATCGGGGAATACGGAGTTTAATTACAGGTAAGGCAGGCAAAAGGCAGACGGACAATACAATGACTGAACTGGGGAAACAAACTGAAACGCGGACGAAATACAGAGGACTAATGACAACAACCAGAAACAGCTGATAACACGGGGATTCCACACGGGGTTAACGAGGGGGCGTGGCACACGGAAGGAGCGGAAGATCGGGGCAGGACACATTGTTTGGATACATTTATTTTCTTACTTTACAAATTACTGTTTTGATAAATGTGCTTAGATGTATTTAGTACAGTATATGCTCGTCTTGTTTTATCCGTTTCATTTTGTGTTTAAATGCTAAAAAAACATATTTAGGTGTAATTTTTTGGGGCTGGGAACCAATTAATTGGTTTTCCATTATTTCTTATGGGGAAAATTCGATCACAACTCGAACTTTTTAGGATTCGATCCGGAGTTCTAAACGGATTAAATTCGAGTTCTGAGATACCACTGTATTTGCAAAAGGCTGCAAATAATCTCCACAGCCTTTTTGGACTGCATCCTGGCTCTAACTCAGAAACACACCAAAGTCATGAGGTTAAATTTCCCGGAGGAACCTTCCCGAGGGATTAATAAAGTACTATGTAATCTAATCTCTAATCTAAATATTAATATATAACTGTTGCTTTAGCTCTCTGCTCCAGGCATGCACTTTATAGATGAGCTTCCCTACCATCTTACTCTGTATGCATACACTCCCCTGGTTTACACCCAAGTTTGCAGTTTGAAGGGGACCATGCAGGGCACTTTTCTCCACGTCTCCACCTCACTGACCTCTTGTGAGCTTCCCCCCTTCCTGTTGCACAATTTGTTGTACAAAGGAAAGACGATCAATGAAATACTCAGAATTCAGGGCCACAGCAGCACGGAGACAGTTAGTAGGCAAAGCGGAATCTGCAGGGGTGGAATCCGTCAGGTGGATATTATCAGTTATATCATGTGTTACAGGCATGAATATGCATCGGGCAGAGGGACACTCCTGTCACATTCCTGTCACTTACCCTGCCTGATATCACTGTCACCATTCCTGTAATTGTCCCTGTCACCTACCCTGTGTGACAGCGCTGTCACCGTTCCTGTAATTGTCCCTGTCACCTGCCCTGTGTGACAGCGCTGTCACCGTTCCTGTNTGTCCCTGTCACCTGCCCTGTGTGACAGCGCTGTCACCGTTCCTGTCCCTGTCACCTACCCTGTGTGACAGCGCTGTCACCGTTCCTGTCATTGTCACAGTCACCTAGCCTGCTTGACAGCACTGTCATTTTTCCTGTCACTGTCACCTACACCACGTGACAGCACTGTCACTATTCCTGTTCCACCACAGACTTCAGGGACAGCTGGTGTTCATGCCATCTTCAGAAGCCCCTTGATGATTCTGCATGGACAGGAGGTAACAGTGGCAAGAGCAGAATAGGGACATTCTAGTGGATAGAACCACCTGAAACTCACTGCCAGAGAGACAATGGAGGTGCTGGTGTAGTTCAGAAAGCGACTAAGCACAGTCACAATGATAACCTCAGTGGCTGCCATGACAACATGGATACAGAAAGGTAATCTGAAGCTGTTTTTAAAGGTTTTCTGAACTGCTAAAACACATTTCCAGAAACCTTGCATCCTTTTCTCAAAACAGAAAACAATCTAATTTTCAAACTACATTCACAAAATCTTTGACTCATCTTCAATCGACTCAAAGCTATTTTGTCTTTGCTCAAAATCAAACACTGTTTTCAGATCATGTATCAAAAAAGAAACGCATGGTCCATGGCATGGAAGGAAAAGAATTATTTGAGTCTTTTGCATTGTTACATATTTACATATGTGTGTGTTTACAGTTTGGCAAAAATGGTGAATTAAATCTGCAAATTGTGTCCAACTAGGTAAACATTGTTTAAGGCTTTGTGAAAAACGACCCTTAAGTCTGTGATTTGTGCAACATGTTGCTACATGTTGCAGTCTGTTATGGACAGATTCATATTCTTCATGGTCTTTGCTGGAGGATTAGGGTCAGTGTTAGGAAGCTGTAAGATGTAGCTTTAATTACAACCCTGAAATCCTGTGGCATGAACAGAAAATCACTACACGTTTTAGGAGTCTGTCAAGGCCAGAGTCATGGTCTTCATGCTCTTAGCTGGGGGTTCATATCAAGATGAAGGAAGCTGCTATGCTCAGCAAACTTTGGAGCAAACTGAGCTGTCACAGGACTGAGAGGAATCCCCTCCCTTCAAGCACAGCCCAGCTCCCTTAGATGGATGATTGAGAGCTGCAGGTGTTGCTCTGTGCCTCCTGCTTTTAATTTCTTCAGTCCCACGTCTCTGACTGCTCCCCCCCCCTCCCTCCCCCTGCCTCGAAGGACACTAACCCAGATCTGTTCGCTGTATTTTTCCACCTGCACATAATTACGTACCTTGCGTGATTCTGCCTCACTAGCACCAACACTATTTCTGCACCCCACGCGCATTTTTTGTATTTTTATTTTTGTATGGTAAGGGGGGTGCTGTCCCGGGAATTATTTACTCCTATGATGCTGCTGCACGGCTAAAATGTCCTCTTTGCTTGACTAAGAAACACTACATTCTCCCATCACAGCGGCTTGAGGCGCCGCGGCCGCGATATGCTGCAGAGGGGCGGCCTGACGTCAGCGGCGCCGGGCGGGCGGCGGGCGGAGCGGGGAGGGTATGGGATGGGGGCGATTTCAGCGCTGGAAACGTCCAATTTTCTTCGGATTTGTTACGTTTGTGCATTTTCACTACATGGGCTGCACTTAAACAGTATATTACTACGATTGCTTTACACGGCACAGCTTTAATTCACGATGAAGCCGCAGACCGCGGTGCGGAGGAACATGGTGAAGGTAGGCGGCGCGGTGCCTTGCTTTTCTTCTGGCTGCTCGGTGCCGGCTTGGTCTATGTGGGTTACCGCAGTTACATAAAATGATCTTTAATATCCGAGCGGAAGTTCATCTAGCTCCTTGGCATTCACGGAAGGGAAGGCGTACATTAACACATGTCCTCGCAATCAAACGGTATTTGCGTAAAATCAAAGTCAAAAGACAATGTAGCTGCGGTTAATGTAACTTTAATGGTTTATCATCGATGGATTTCGGCTCGTCATCAGGAGGCTGCACGCGTGCATTATCGGTGTAAATGCCGATGTGTGTCTGCATTTTGCAACCTTTCCTTGACATATTAACGCGTCTGTGCGCCGGTACATTAAGCAGGAGCTGCCCTCTGAATAGTACCCTGCAGTATGTTCGCATTTATACTGTACGTCTTTTACGTCTTTTAGATATGTGTGAGAGGAAAGCTTTCATTGTACCTCTAGGAGACAGTTTGCGGCTTTGGTTAAATGCATGCTGCAGGGGGATACTGATTGAAGATTTCACTGCATATATATAGGTGAAGCTCACTTCAGTTTTTGGTGATGTGCATGTGTCTGTAAAGGGGAATATTGATGTATTTCTGGCACTAGGTTATTAAAATGGAAACATCGTAGCCTGTAGCATGGCAGTGTGAAACTCGTCGGGATTTAGAGATCAGGTGGTGTTGTCTTGCTGAGGCCGGCTTTGCTTGACTCCGGTGCGGAGGGCTGGATGAGCCACCATCGGGTACCTGTGCCGCGCTGGAGGTGTTTAACTGCATCTTCATGACGTGCACTTTGTGCTTTGTACATTGTACGGAACCGAAGGCTATTTAACCAAACGATGCATAATTCAATTCCGAGAAACGTGCACAGCACAGGCCAGCTGCACAGCACAATTCGCTTACTGTGATGATAACGTTATAACGTCAGATGGCCTCGCCTTACTGAGAAGATAAGCAGCGCTTTAATTCACTTAGAGTTGCTTAGTGCGAAACACTATTAAAATTATATTTAATAATATATTTAATAAATTATATTCAGAATAACAGAATTTGAAAATAATTGTAATTTTCACATATTCGCTAAGAACTGTTTAAATGCAATAAACATGCAGTAATTCGGGGTATTCTTTATGAATGTGATTTCTTGTTTATAAAGATAGATATGCCTTATTGATCCAAAGCAGGAATTTAGTAAGCACATTTGTAAGACGGGAGCATTTAACGTTAGATTAAGTTTACAATATTGCGGATAGTATTGTGTTTCAGTAGTGTTATGATCATATGTAGTGTCAGTAGTGGTTTATGGTTTTCACATGTGTCCATACCTAAACAAAGTTGAAGTGTGATGGTTTACCACATGCAATATCTCAGCGAAACACCTTTCTTTTGTGATATAAAATAGCCTATGTCTTCCTCTAAAATCAGTTTTAGCCTGTCGAGGCTGACGTTGTGTAGGATATATCCAGCTGTACGTAAATTGTGAGCCGCCGTGACCCGTGCTGTAGCTAGTGCAAATGACGGCCGAGTGCAGCTTCTGGAGTCTGGACCGAACCCCTGCCGCACGTGGGCGGAGCTCTCCATGGGGGAACCCTCCCTAATGATGACAATAATAGCAGATTATGCATGTCGAGAGGAGCTCGTTCAGTTCAAAGCATTCTCTTTGGTTACACGTTTGATTTACGTAGATTTCGCCTTTGATGTCTCTCTGGTCTTATACTGACAGATCAGATTAACGTCCATTTCGAGAAGATAAATCGGTAGGCCTATATCAAGCTGTTTTGTGTTGCTTGTTTGAAGTGACCTAACCCAAAAAGGTCTATAAGCGGTGTGTGTGTGTGTGTGTGTGTG